CAAAAAATTATGATGTTTGGAGGTGTAACATTGATTTATTTAATTTTGAATTTAAACAGAATTGATATCATTTATGCAAAAAAAAATTGTCTTTGTTTCTAGTCCAAATATCTACATTTTGAATTGAAAACATGATTATTTTACTTGATCAAAGAATTTGTAGACATTTAGACAAGAAACAAGACAAAGCAAAGGAAGAAAAGCACTTTTTGCATTGTGATTATTCCATTTTTTTACCTAAATGCTGTTAGACACCCCAGAAAACTGCCACATAGAGCTATTTAAAACATCTTGTGAATCTATTTATATTGCAATATTTATCACATAAAAATAAAATATGGCAATATCATATTTTTCCAATATCGTGCAGCCCTTATGTGAGTTATTATTCAATAAAAGTTAGTCATTCTCTGGCTTACCTTTCTGTCTTCTGCTTGCTGCCGCTGGTATTGTGTGTACGTTTGGAGCTCTTGAGGACTCATTCCCTTGTAACAGTCTCTGCGCAGACGAGACAAACCCAGAACGCTCACATTCTGCTCAGGGTTTTCCATCAGCAGGTCTCCGTTCAGCTGGTTGTAGATCTCTGTCTGGTTGTTCTCTTCTTCTTCGCGGTGCTCTTGTAGACGTCGATGTGTGATTTCTGCAGCCTTTGTAAGTCAAGATATAGCAAGGAACAATGGAAAATGACACATGAGTGATACTACTGAGGTTATTTTTTTAAATAGAAAAGCTGTTTCATCCATTTTGTCTCACCAGTGCAAGGTTAAAGTCTTTGGTGGCGATGAGTAAGTCTCGCTTGGTTTGTTCCTCCATTTTCTGCAGTTCGAGAGCTCGGCTGTCCAAAGACATTCTGATTTGGTCATATTGATTCTCTGTGTGAAACAAACATTGGGAAAAAATAGTGTAATACTGTTTGATTCTGTATGGTTTTAGTAGATTTAAGATCATTTAAATAATGTTCTTATTAAACATATTATAAAACACACAAGTTAACCATTTAAGCTTATTAGGTTATTTGGCATTGCTTTTAAAAATCCAGTCATCAAATTTATTGATCTTGCTTGTTATTTTAATATTACTCAGATATTTATGTAGTTCATTTTTAATTAATTAACACAGGGTTTCTGCAGGTTTCACCAAGTCAAATGTAAGACTTTTTAAGACCTTTTAAGATCATTATAAATGGAATTTCAAACCTATAAATGGCTAAATGCTAAGGATTTTTTATTTCAAATAGACCAGTTGGTCTAGATCAGGGGTGGCCAAACTTTTTCTTATGAAGGGCCAAAAACCAAACTTGACTCAGACTAGTAGGTAAGGTAATTAAACATTGCCATGGCAAATTGCTTAATTTATTTAATAATATTTGAATATAACTAGAACACATTGCTTTATAATACAGCACATTTTTCCATATTATAATGAATCTATTACAGTTAAACAAAACCAGGTTCATTTTCTAACCATGACTTTTTGCCTTGATTTGCTCTCTGATGTCTTCTGCATAGTCCTCGATACGTCAAGTGACATTATTTACATTTTAAAGAATCAGATTCATTTGCAACATTTAACTGAAATGTGCTTTTTTGTAGCTCGGTTTTGTAGGTTACGTCAAATTAGAAATGACGATCTTCGCCTCTCCGTTATTCTCACTCTCTTCTCAGATGGGACGGTGGGCCAAATCAAAGGTCTTTTAGCATCCCTGGTCTAAAGAAAACGTTTTATACTAGCCCCATTAAAAAAATGTATTAGTTATTTCTTAGCCACATATTTTAAATAATGCATCAAATGTAAAAAGTAAACAAATCCTAGTTGTATACATGCAAATTATTTAAAACTTAAAAAAAAGAAAAACTTAAAAAACTATAATAATAAACTGTGTATACAGACGCAATAGTATATATAGGTCATTGTTCTCAATCTACTGTATACTGTATGGTCTATAAATGCATAGATTGTAAAGAATGTAATTAAACCATATTATTTATAAACTATTTAATTAGCTATTACAATATTATTTATAAATACAGCTTTGTTAAATAATTTATTGAGCAACACAGTGGCTCAGTGGTTCGAGTCCCAGCTGGGTCAGTTGGCATTTCTGTGTGGAGTTAAAATGTTCTTTCCTTGTTTGCCTGGGTTTCTTCTGGGTGCTCCTGTTTCCCCCACAGTCCAAACACATGCGCTATAGGTTAATTGAATGAACTAAATTGGCTGTAGTGTATGTGTGTGAATAAGTGTTTATGGATGTTTCCCAGCACTGGGTTGCAGCTGGAAGGGCATCCACTGTGTAAAACATATGCTGGATAAATTGGTGGTTCATTCCGCTGTGGTGACCTCTGATAAATGAACTAAGCTGAAGGAAAATGAATAATTTTTTTATTGTGATTGATTCCTGGTGATTGGATGAGTGTTTGCCTGATTGAGTAGTTTCACATGAACATTAATTAAGAGTTGTTTAAAATGATTTAAGACCTACAAGAGAATATTTCATTTAATTTAAGAATTTTTTAAGGCCTAAAATTCCGTTTTTGAAATGTGAGACATTTTAAGACTTTTTAAGACCTGCGGGCACCCTGTAACAGTTTTATTTAGTTTTACATTATTATTTTAATCCATCACATTTTTATTATAGTTTTTATTTAATCATTATTTTATTTATTTTTTATTTTTGAGTTTTAGTTTTGCAAGATTGAACAACATGACATAGCTAGTGTTTAGTATAGTAAATGTGTGAAATTAGGGATTGGAATTTCAATTAGTACATATATTTTAAGATTACAAATTTTGAAATTGCGAATAAATACATATATTGTATTTGTTTCTCTGCCTTATATAGAAATTAAAAAGATTTTTCAACATTAGGACCAAACATCCCTAAATAATTAAATAATTGGTCAAATAATTTTTGACATTTTAGATTAAGGGGCTTCCCATTGACCTTCTTGTTTCCGCTGTAGTTTTGCTCTCTCCACTTCTTCTTTTTGCTGTGTCGTCCATGAGTAGAGCTGCTCCTGCTGTTTCCTCAGCCTGTTCTTCTGGCCCAGATCTTCTCCAACCAGTCCCGGCAGTATCCTCTGCCCTTCCTGTTTCTTCAGCAGCTCCGGATCATTTAGATCGAACTCTCTCCGGCTGCTGGCTTGTTGAAACTGTTGTCTGAATTGCACAATGTCCTTATTCAGCTGCCGCTCATCTTTCTTCTGCCGCTGTTCCAGGATACAGGCTATACCATCACTGCACAGTAGGTCATCCGCTAGAAACATAGAGCAGTTCCAGCTTGTTAAACCACCTAATCACAGTCTTAGTTCATTATTATCAAAATAATGTAGTTTTTATATTTCCTCTGTGACTTATCAATACAGTATATGTATTAAATATTTAATATACTACAAATTTTCTTGTAACTATATATTAACTATTATGCTTCTATCTATCTATAACTTCAACTATATTATATAACTACTATATTATAATATATATAATAAAAATAATTGGTTTTCTTCAAATTTTATTTTCCTTTATATGATTTTCTTTACATCAAAGCCTCAAATTAAATATACACACTAACGTTAACGTTACATGGACATTTAAAACAAATAATTGTAACTTAAAAATAAAAAGATATTGCAAGTTTTTAAGTGTTTTCTGACAACAGAACCTGCATCCATAAATATATAACTGAATATTTTATTCATAGCTCGATATTGGTTACTGTCCTCACAGAACTCACCGTAGACTTTCAGCTCATTCGCTTCTCTCTGCTCTTTCTCTCTTCGCTCCTTAATTTGTTGGCCAAGAGCATCTATATCAACCTGACAAAACAAAAAACGTGTCAAACGAATCTGCATATGTAGTTTCGAGCTGTATAAAGCTTATTAAGTAAACAAACTCACTCCAATAGTGCGGACTTTATCACTAAAGATCCTCTCTTGCCTTTTCTGCTCCCTGATTCTCCTTCTGTCGAGGTGAACAGCTGCGACTCGGTCAGACAGATGCTCGACTTGGTTCATTATAACCGCTATAAATCGATATAACGAGCAATATAATGACACGTTTATAAATCGACTCGCAAGTTGTCACCAGACAAGGGGCAAACAAACGGGTTGCTAAGAAACTGAAAATACGTGTTTGAAAATATAGCGCCCTCTAGCTTTTGATTCTCTTTCTGCAATATAGTCACAGGCATAACATATACATTAAACCGCACATAAAGATAGTTTAAATCAAAGTTTTCCGACTCACTGAGTAAAAATCTACACTTCTAAGCTTTTCTGAAGATCCACTGCATCTAAAAGTCGTGGTATAACCCAAAAGTTGTATTGTCACCATGAAATTTAATATTTTTGAGTTAGCCGATTAGGCTAGGCTATAATTGTAACACAGCGATGTTATCATATAATTATCATAATTGTCAAAATAATTGTCAATAACTGTATTCGACAAAGCTGTTTATGTCATGAATTTATAAGAGCAAAAAACAGCGTGAAAAAAAACCTATAAAAAGACTTGCTTAGCTTAAGCTGTTAGCCTACAACTACATAAAGTAAAGGTATTTTAAAGGTCACCAAAAAAAATTAAATAAAAATAAATAAATAAAATTAAATTAAAAAAACGAAAATATCCCTGTAATTTACTCATCCTCATGTCATCCAAGATGTAGGTGAGTGCATGCCCTATACTCAGAGTTGAAACTTGAATAAAATCATTTTTGTTTTATGTGGTCACAAAAAGACTCATAGCTTGAAAATATTCATATTGAATTATAGAAGGCATATGCTTTGTTTTTATGTTTTATGAGAGAGCTCTAAATATCTAAATTTGTCTTCCTGAAAATTAAAGGTTTTAGGGATTTTGAACGAGTAACTAGCCTAACAGAATGTTCATTTTAAGGTGACCCCCTTTAACACATACATGCAAATATACTAAATTTACAGTTAAATTATCCACTTCAGACCATCGATTCAGACCCCAATTCACTTTGAATGAGTCAAGACTGTTGTTTATGGAGGATGAGGGAGCTCATATTTTGTCTAAAGAAGATGAATGAAGGTTTCATTGTTACGACATGACGGTAAATAATAATTGTATTTACATTTTTAGGTAAACTATCCCATTTACACATAGTGGTAGATATGAACAAATCAATATGTCTCACAAAAGGTACATGGAATATAATTTTACCACTTTATAAAGTCCATGGGTACAGTAAGACATTAAACAACTGTCTTGCAGCTTTATTCAGACTTGTGTTTTACCAGAACATGTGAGGATGTTAAGAGACAAACAATGTTCGTCAAAAGTTTGACCTCAATTTTTTTTTTACTTTTTTTTTTTTTTTTTGCTAAAGACTTGCAAGTGGACCAGATGAAAGAAGAAAAGACATTTCAATGCAGAGTATGAAACCAAACACTACTGATGCCAGTACAAAGGTGACATTTTTGAGGTTATAAAAAAAACCTTCTCTATAAAAGTAACATTTCTTGGTTGAATAATTTTGCACATGGTTGTTTAGAGACAAGCTGATGCCTTGTCCTTGGAATCACACAAGTTTATAGATAAACTTCACATAATAGTTTACTGATGCTTCCATTGACATGTCCTGCAGATTAAGAGGATTCAGTTTTTTTATTGTTACTGGATATTGTTTTATTATGGATTACAACATATGTGTAAACATATTGTGTGTACTGTTTTACAACTTAAAGTAGCTTAAAATGTGACATAACTTATAAAAGGATCAAAGTTTTCATTATAATAAAACATTTTAAATCTTTGATCCTTTTTATAGGTTTTGCGGTCATATAAAAGTTTGTCACTTTTAAATTTATTTTTTAAGTGTATACCTTTTATCACTGAATCATTTTTGTACATTTTTCTACATTGTGTTTTTAGAAAACCTTTAAAGAACATTTTGAATTGATTATACCTCGAAAAAGTGACTGAAATGTAAAAAAAAAAAAAAAAAGAATGTTTCTTTGTTTTTGTTACTGGACACAGACCTTAGTTTAATTTTTAATGTGCAGTTGATATTGTAAAAAAAGACCATCACCTGTCAGGTTATGTTTGTAACAGATACACACACATCTGATAAGAACTTTGTACCCTAACACATTTTCTAATTTTTAAACATCTTTGATGACATGTTGTATAGTCCATGTTTGTCCTGTGCATGTTTGCAGAATGAGAGCATAATCAGAGTTCGGTCCTTGGCCGATCTCAAGACATCGGTTTGTGTTTCTGTTTTTTATTGCATTTCCCTAAATGTGAAAAACAAACAAACAAAAAAAAGTGAAATTTTTTACTCATATCAATGCACGTTACAATTATGTTAATATATTTGGCAAAAGAGATTCACCACACACTTTATTAAAAGCGTAGTTCCCCTAAAATCTAAGTCAAAATCAGAGATTAAAATTGAAATTTGCAGGAAATTTCAATTTAAATACTTTCCAATCAATTTCACACTCCAAGATGGTACCAAAAGTACTTTAAATATAATAGAAAATTCTCATAATTGTGAATTATAGAAAATTTATGACTCCTTAAATGTGTTTCGTGCCATTTCTCAATGAGGGCTTGTAAATTATGTTATGTTAGATATAATATTTCATATTATTATATAAACATAATTTTCTACTCATAAGAACCATACCTGAGTGAAGTCCCAGTAAATACTCAATCCTTTCTGCTTGGCATTCTTACAGTTATGTAAAGTTGGCATATTTCCATTACCAGGATCCGTTAGACAACGGTTAGAGTTGTAAGTGTGAGATTTAATGCCGCCAACATAGATCTCTCCATTAAGTCTGTAGTAACAATGCTGTGGAAGAAGTTGAAATAAAAAAATGTCCTTTGGATTTTACTCAAAGCAAAAACGTTATTTTACAATAAATACAGTATACCTGAGGGCTGTAGTAATGACACCCATAGAGAATAGGCACACTTCCAGGAACAGGCCCTTGATCAATGCAATGGTTTTCAAAAAGGTCATTCTCCAACTGTCATGAAAAATAAACAATAGCCATTCACGGATAGTTCATGGTTTAGATGGATAAGGCTTTTATCTGTTAATTAAACTACGTTTGTGGGTAAAATTAGATTTTTCAAGACCATTAGCTGATATTATAAAGCTAATTTAGCTTGTACTGGATGTGAGACTGGGACTATTCTCAACCAGAAGTGGAATGAGTACTGAAAACTCATACTCAAATAAAAGTGCCATTGCTTGCCAAAGATTTTATCACAAGCAGTAGTTCATTTCTTATAAGTAGTCAAGAGTAGTGAGTATTACGTTGTGAAACTTATTCCACCATATAATTTTAAACTGTAGTTTATATCAGTATTATTTTAAGAATGTTTCTAAATGTAAGTTAATTATATACCAATCATGGGCTTTAAATTAAAAACGTGAGCTCAGCTTGATGTGAGAACACATTACATTCAAATATGCTGTGATAATAAGCTAACTGAAAGCAGATTGGCGCATTTCATGTAGAGCAAAATCTGTGTAAGGGGCAAAAATTCTAACTTTGATGATGTAAACGCTTAGGTTATTCACTTTGAACCATGATTAAAAATCTAAATGCAGCACTGATAGAATGCATACTATTTGTGCATGTGTTTGAAAACGTAATATTCTGTAGTGCATTTACAGCTATTTGAGCATTACAGTAATCATCTTATCAGTGATATGCCGTCTAAACAGTCTCTCAGTCAATGTGTGTAATGATTTTGCTCCTTGTTGGACAGTTTGCTGCATTGTTATAGTGTCTGTGCCTTGAGGTTGATCTGTCTGATGCAGTTTTGGCAAGTAAAGTTTAATTGGATGGGGCTGATTATTCTACTTAGCTAATCACTGTAGACAAGACCAAAAAAAGTAGGTGACCACAAGCTGAAAGTAGTGCAGTAAAAGTACAGCACTAAAACTGTACATTATTGTAAAAGTACAATTGTTTTTTAAACTACACTTCATATAAATAGCCGTCATTTGGGGTAAACTACACTAATCACTGCTGGTGACTTTTAGAAGTTTTTAAGGTCACATCCGTTAATTAATAGCTGCCCGTGTCCCAGGATTCACAATTTCTTTAATCTTTAATTCTTTAAATTGTATTATTGGACCTTTATGTCTGTCTGACAACTGTTGATGTTAAAATCTGAATGCAACGTTGAACAATGTGACTTTTATTGGCATTTATAGTACCTTGAAACAATTAACTGTGTAAGATATTACTGCATATATTTAGAAACAAATCTGTAAAATAACAGAAAAAGATTACTGGTTATTATAACATGACTAACACAGTCAAAGTCATATGCTTTAAACTACTACAAATGTCAATAAAATGAACTTGGCCATCAAAGGATGTTGGAGAAATAATCAGGGTTTTATATGCAAAGAGAAAGCATAAAATCCCTCATGAATCGCGAGCTGTTAATCAAGGAATTGCAAACTAGACGAAAGGTTATACTGTATCAAAAATATAATAGAGAAGCCAAAGGAAAGTGAATGAGTGAGTATAATAGGGAAACATTAACTCTGCTTCAGATGCAATCTGTGTTCATCAGAAGACTTTGAGTATCTTTGTTGCTTACCGCACCATAACCCATTATATCGTCCCATCTGTCAAGTTGAGGATAGACATTTTCCAGATACCATTTGAAGGGTTTACATTTGAGTTTTTCCCGTAATTGTTTTCTTTCAGTCACATCACCAATGTCAATCCCATGATCCTTTAGGAAACAATTGTTTGATCAGAATGCAAATAAAATAGTCATAAACAACGCTGTTAATATTATCTTATCTCAAGCTAACTTTGAACCAATGTTTACTGTTACCTTCAGAGGCAGATTCCAGGCGATATTCACATTGGATTTATATTCATCCATCCAGATTTCAGCCACTCTCAATGCGTTTCGGATCATGGGTTTGCTGAGATCTGGTGAATAAGGCTTATGTGCTCTTTCAATGTGCGCAATCTTTGAACACGGCACCACTTCAACACTCCCACCACAGAGCCAGACCTAATTTAGTTATTTATAGATATTGATCAAATATATATATGACAGATATATATATATTTTATATATTCAAATATACACACACACACACACACACACACATATATATATATATATATATATATATATATATATATATATATATATATATATATATATACATATATACATACATACATACATACATACATACATACATACATACATACATACATACACACACACACACACACACACACACACACACACACACACACACACACACACACACACACACACACACACATATATATATATATATATATATATATATATATAAATAATTTGCTAATAATAATTTGGCATAATAATAATAATAATAACAGTGACAAAATTTCACAAATGGACTCATTGCACAGGCTGCAACTAATCAAAATACCACTTTTGAATTCAATGAGCTGAAGAGAGTGACCAATTCTTTCATTAATGTTTGTAGAATCGTCTGCAAGCCAAGGTGCTTGATTTTATACACCTGTGACCATGGAAGTGATTAAAACATCTGACATCAATGATTTGGATTGGTGTACCATAACCTTTGGCAATATTGTGTTAATTATATGCATATTGTGGAGTTATAACTTACACGAATTCCCAGTTCTACATTTTCACCACCATAAATTGTCATTCCTTCGTCCAAAACTCCAATTTCTCCCAGAAACTGACGGTCAGCGACAAGGATACCCATGACTGAGGGACTCCTAAAAGTGCAGAAAAAAGAAACTGCACGTTTTACTTGAATTGTGAATCATAAACCACAATCTGAAGCTTATTTATTAAATCACAATTTTTGACATCTTGCGAAATAGAGCTAGCAATTGTCACTCAGTCAATGAATTGTTTAAAAACACAGATTTATTTATTAGTCCCATTGTGTTGGCGATAAGCTTGTTTGGTTTGGTTATTTTTTGACTTGGCAGATCAAGCACAGCATTTTACTTTTAAAAATGTCAAACTGAGAGTGTACTTAAAATTAACTGCAAAAAGCAAAACTGTTTAACAAGATGAAGAAGTTGCCCCACTTACTTCCCTGGTTCTGATGGGTCTTTGAGTTTGTACCATTCTGGTCGGAAGGATTCGTACATGCACCAAAGGTTCCAATTAAACGCATGAGCAGCAGGACTATACTTAGTAACCTCCAGTGTGTCAAAAAACACTTTGTCGAACACTGGTGACAATACAGTTGTCCTGTCTGCTTTAATTCGTGTAAGAAGTGGCTCTGCCCTACAAAGCAGTCAAATTGTTAATTAATTAATTAATGATCATCGCAGCAGCAACCAAAACTATATTTATGTAGCCAATACATATATATATTCTGTTACCATTCTTTATGAACTTCAATGTGGGCATCCAAAATGGCGACCACTTGACCTGTGGCCGCTTCCCAGCCTGACATTCTTGCCTTTGCGAGACCCATCTGCCTTTTGTGTCGCACTTTCTTGATTAATCCAGGTTTGGTTTTATTAAATAGACTGACATATTCATCTAAAGGCAATTTTAGATCCTCTGCCAAGAAAAGAGGAACATGTGAGATAAAATTTGTCATTCTTCATCAAAACAAACATAAATTTAAACATCAAAGCTTACAAACACTAGATTTAGTGTAATATTGGTGTCAAAAAGCATAACGTTTTGATGTGTTTTTAGACTCCAATGTTAGACGTCAATTTGATTTGGTTAGACATGCATTGTATGGATACAAAATCCAGTAAAAAATTGTAATTGAATCTTTCAGATAAATCAGACTTTTCTAACATTACTTTTGTGCCATTATTTTGGTGGTCAAAAGGTCATCAATGTTTGATGTCAAATGGACATCAAGGTTTTGACAACAAATCGATTCACATTTTTGACATGTTTTTGAAGTCATTAGCCCCTTTCACACATACAGACCTTTCCTAAAAATTGACAGTAATAGTCTGTAATGGACCTTTTTGAAAACACTGCTAAATTTTATGAAAAGAGAAGTTGTAACATAACCGGTAATTTGCCGGAATGCTGCTCTGCGTGAACACAAACGAAAGATTGTACATGTTTAGAAAGCGCTGATGTGAGACGTCTACTTTAGCCGATCAGAACACTCAGATGCATTCACATCCACGCTGTTTATGAAAATAAAAGCCTTTGGATATTTTTCCAGACACGTTTAGCTGCTAGATGTTAGTCAGATAACATTTCTATGTTCCCTCCTAATGCCAACTGTGTAAATATTTGTTTACCTTAATGTTTGTTTACCTTTAATTTCTGCTTCCTTCAGTTGCATGATGTGTGTGCATGTGAAGCAGCTGGTGAGAGCCAGCACACACACACATATTATGTACATCTCGACAGGTGAAAGTGATCCTCTATATGCTTTCATCGTTTACAAATACATGTACAAGCGCAGCCGTTTAGAGGTCATTTCTGGTTAATGATGTCAGAGTTTACTGGTATTTTGGAATAGATGTGTGAATAGTCTTTTCCAGAAACATTCCATAACGCCCTTGCCAGTGTGAACAGTGCTTTTGTTAATTTACCGGTAAAGTAGTTTTGGAAATTTTTTGGATATTTACCGGTATCACTGTGTGAAATGAACTAGTTTGATGTCATTTTGACATCAAGGTGCCCATTGGGATATTTAAAAATAAAATAAGTTTACTTTTTTTATGAGCATCATATTTATGCATAAACTGACAAAACTATTTAAAAAATAAAAATATATTTTAAAACATGTTAAATTTACTGCTCGAATAAATAAACTATAACAAACATAAAACATAGTGTAAAACTCACCATTGGAGCTGTTGTCGTCTACCAGGACGATCTCCTTTAGCAGATGAGCAGGAGTTTTGTCAATGATGCTCTGAATGGCTCTTTTAATGACTGACAGAGCCTCATTCAGATAAATCAGAATTACACTAATGCTTGGCAAGTCCTTAGGGTAGATCTTCAAAGCACATCTGCAAATTTAAATACATTTATTGCCATTCATTTTTAATAAGATTTAAAATAATAACAAATATTACTCAAGTACATAATCAGCATACAGTGTTGGGTATATGTTACTTTAAAAAGTATTTAATTACATCATTACAATTAAATAAATCTAAACAATTTTACTGATTACTTCTTCTAAAAAAGTAACTTAGTGACTTATTAAGTAATTTATCGGGTGCTTCTGGGCCAACATGAAACCTGACTCACAAACACCAGCAGAGAAGTGGAATTCCTTGCCAATCAGGTGTCTGAACTTACTACTCGCATACAAGAACTCCAGCGAGAGACCACTTTGGGATTTTTTTTGCCAGTAGTCTGAATCACTCTGCAATAATCCACCACTGTATGATGGGGACCCAAACTTATGTCCGGCATTTTTATCTTTTAGTTTTAAAACGGCGTTTCAGATCAAAAATTATCCGCGTCCACACCAGCGTTTTACCTAGCATTTCTGAACATATCTCCGTCCACACTACGCCCCCAAAAACGTATATCAGGTGACCATGTGTCTCGCTCGATTGTTAGTCAACAAACACGGATTGAACAATGAACGCGATGGCAAAGAAAGCAAGAGAGGTATTTTTGTGGACAGAAGACGAGGTCGAGTTGTTACTAAACGTAACAAATGAATAACTGCACAATGGTGCCTAAAACAGACAATAGTGCAAACAACGCTCCCATTTCTCTGTCCATGTTGTTGTTTACAGTGAAGTCTGCTGTCTTCAGGTAGCGTTTAAGCCATGTGGTATAGTCATGTGATAGGGGCTTGATGAATAAGGGAAGAATACGCAATGACACAAAAGCCCCAATCAGGTAGCGAATCTCAGCAGCCCCACCTCCGTTTTCAGATGTCTCAATTTTCCCCCATCCACAAATAGATGGAGCTGCAGCATTTTAGAATGAAAACGGCCTCTCTAGCAATTCTAAAAATGCTCAGTTTTTTGGCTCTCGAAAACTCAGGCGTAGTGTGGACGGATGGCGTAACCGTAGCAAAACTTATGCGTTTTAAAACTAAAACGCATTAGTGTAAACTGGGCTTAGGGTGGCCTTTGTGTAACTCTTCTTACAGGAATGGCCTGCAAATGGGAATGTCTGTTTGAAAACCAGAGCCCCCTCTTGTGCTTCTTTCAATGACCTATGGCAGGAGAGGATAAGGCTCTTTGACCGGTCTTCTAGATGATAGGAGGCTGTGGATCAGCTCGCTCGCCTTTATCAAAGTTGCTGCTCAGTCAATGAGTATGCCATCCTCTTAAAAACCCTGGCAGCATCTTGTGACTGGAACAAAGGGGTGAGCCAATAAATGTTCTGTGCTGGTCTGGAAGAGGACATACAGGATTAGCTTGCCACTCATTAGCTGCCATACTACTTTGATGACCTCATAAATCTGGCACTACTTATCAAGGTTTGCCTCAGTCACTGGCTCCAGCATAAGCTAACTTGTTCCTTTGAGAGGGTAGAGAGCACTGGTTCACCTTCCACATTTGCGGCTGCTCTTGACCCTGAACTCATGCAAGTGGGACACTTGTGTTAACACCCCAGAAGAAACAACAGTAACCTGGACACTTTGCTGCATTCTGCCGAACAAAAGCCAAAGTTAGACAGGGGATCATGGTGAGCGCTATTACCCTACTACAGTCCCCTTCCTCTCATTCCCTCCTGCCAATTTTGGTCCAGTATATTGATTCTGCTAATGCCTGTTCTGCCCTGGTTGATTCTGAGCTGAAGGTAACTTCATGAACAGCTTGGTGGCCATCCAGAGGGGCATTCCAGCCATTCAATTTCCTGAGCCCATCCTTGCCTGTTCTCTAGAGGGTATCCTGATTGCTACAATTTCTCATGCTACTCCCTCTGTAAGTCTTGTTATCAGGCAATTACCATGAGCCATCCCTGATTGGTGCAGCTTGGCCCTCATGTGAATTGGTCTGGAAATTCTGTTCTGTCTTGGAGTTGGTCTTGTCTTGCACCTTGTCTTGATCTGCAATGTTTCCTGTTTTGCAGGTGAACTCAGCGGGTCTGACTAGAGTCCCAGCAGAATACCATGATCTGAGTCTGTTCAGGTGTTCAGAAAATCCCGGGCCACCTCCTTGCCTCTGCATCGATTCTATGAGCTCCTCCCAGGCACTTGCTCCGGTCTTGTTTATTCCAGATCCTGAATGACAGTTTATAAGTGAGGTGGAAACTCCGATGTCGGATCTTTTGAGCTCCACAAAATGTAATTATGACATTAATAATCAGGAGTTGTTGGCAATCAGACTGGCTCTGGATTACCGGAAAAGAGTGCAGTTCAACCTTCTGATGTCTGGATGAACCACATGAACTTGGAGTAAGAGGCTGAGTCCTAGACAGGCCCGCTGGTCTTTCCTTTTCAGATGTTTCAACTTTACACTCTCGTACAGGCCAGGGTCAAGAAACCCCTTATCCATACCTTCCTGCCCCTGGTCACACCTAGGCCTTGACTTTGTCACCAGCCTACCTGAATTAGAGGTTGTTGAAATCCATCATCCTCACGTTGGACCACTTCTCCAAAGCGGCCCATTTATTTTCTCTTCCTAAGCTACCCTCTGCCAAGCAGACTGCACATGTGGTGGTTGATCACATGTTCCGGATTCATGGTCTTCTGGTTGATGTGGTCTCAGATAGGGGACCCCAGTTTGTCTCCCAGTTTTGGAATTAATTTTCTGACAGATCAGGGCCTCTATGAGTCTATCTTCAGGATTCCATCCCCAGCCCAATAGGCAGTCTGAGCCAGCAAACCAGAATTTGGAACATGCTCTCCGCTATTTGACCCATAATCCTAACTCCTGGTGCGAACAACTATCCAGTGCTTTGTTGGCTATCAACCACCTCTGCTCTCCTCACAGGAACCCGAAAGCTGCAATTCTGTCTGCCTGGGCTTTTGTTCAACCGTATCGGTGCCCTTGGAAAAAAGCTAAGGAAGCCTTGGCCCAGGCTAGTAGATAGATGAAAGCAGTGGCTGATTATTATGGGACTCCTGCTCCCCACTATGTACTTGGTCAATGTATATGGCTCTTCACCATACTTACTTACTGAAATACCTTACCTGACATACTTACTGTCAGGTCCTCTGTCTGATCCCCTGGGTTTTCATCTGTTCAGAATTGTTTACCTGTCTTATAGCACATGGTATGTTTTGATCGCTCTCTATTTGCACATTTACTTTGGCATGTCTCCGAGCATCTTCCCATTTTCCTCCTATTATTTTATTAAGCCTAGATTTCACTCACCTGTTATCCTTGTTCGCTGTAATCCCCCTCCATTTAGTTCCCTCTCTGCTGCAGTTCTTTGTCAGAACATTTTGGCAACATTTAACATTTTTTCAGTTTTCAACATTCTTTCAGTTTCGGTAACCCAGTCGGTCCCTGTTGTGTTGTCCTGTGTCATGCCTGGCTCCCGGTCAGTTGTTACTATATTTTGGCTGCTTTTTCACCCCTTTTGTCATCTCCAGGCTTCATTCCTGTTTTGTTTCAATGAATGCACTAACAGGATTGAGGAGACGTGATGTTTGCAGTTGGCTCAACATATTATTTCTCATTGAATCAATGCTAACTGGCTGTTGCTACATTCATTCATTTTCCTTCGGCTTAGTCCCTTTATTCATCAGGGGTCGCCACAGCAGAATGATCGCCAAATTGTTCAGCATATGTTTTACGAAGCGGATGCCATTCCAGCTGCAACCCAGTACTGGAAATATCTATAGCACATGTCTTTGGACTTGTGGTGGAAACCAGAGTACCCAATGGAAACCCACGCAAACATGGGGTGAACATGCAAACTGCACACAGAAATGCCATCTTGCTGTGAGGCGCCAGCGCTACCCATTGCACCACTGTGCTGCCCAAAAGGCAAATATATTATAGGTAATTGTAAATAAATTACATAAAAATTAAACAGCAGAAAAGTAATTTAATTATAGTAACTATAGTTACTTTGTAACTAATTTACACACGATATGTTGAGCATAAAATTTCTAAAGGGAAGACTACAAATTTAGATTTGCCTTAACAGAAATAAGTCATAGAAGCTTGAGTCTGCCACAAAACAAATAAAACTAAATCATTGGTAATTTCTGTAGTTGTACATTTTACAGTTTATACTCTTTTTAGCTCACAATTAAGAGTTTATATGTCATTCTCTCAATTATAAAATGATTGCTGGGGCAAAAATGAATTGTCAGATGAAAAGTCACAATTTCATTACTTTAAATTACTTGATGAAATCGGGCTTCAATATTCAATATCACTTTAAGCAAAAAAAAAAAAAGTTGTTAAAACAGTTACCTGGGGTCTCGAGTATCAGGGATTGATCTATTCAATGGTAATCTGTTACTGAGGAAAACATTGTATCCAAACTCCTGAAACAGTTTCTCTGCTTCCATCTGTTCCTCTTCTGTCAGTTCAGCTCCCCAGATTTTAAAAAGAGCTGACTTTGGATATAACTTCTTCACCTTCGTTTTCTTTGTATCTTTCTGTTTTACGACAGCCTCATCAACTTCTATGAATTTAGCTGAATAAATAAAGTCCACAACTGTTGATTACAATTTCTACATTTTTCTCACTGTCTGATCAAAATAAAAAATAGAATCTGTTCACTTACCTATTTTATGAACTTGGTCTTCTATTCTCTTCAGTCTTTGAAGAACTTCCAGATCTTCTGGCTTTTTTAACCTGCTTTTATTGTTTTCCCCTGGTCTGAAAAAAGACAAGTACACAAAACTGTAAACTATGATACCAACAACTAACACACTGACTCTTGCACCAATTCTCATGTTCAATAAAGATCCTTGTGGTCGTGATTAATAAGAAAAATCCTTATGAATTTTACAAATGTCTCTCCATGAAGTTGTCTGTCAACAAAGGTGTTCAGTTTTCCTAAGAAGCGTCTGATATAAAATAAGGGAGTGGTTAGCTCTTGTGTACTGTTCAAATTCACTACCCTGCCGTTATGTATATGGCTGTTTTTCGCCCTATTGACTTCCATTATAACAACATTTTTTTATTGCAAAGCCATTACACCAAATAATCTTGCGTCTAAATTTTTGGTGTTTTTTCCTGTTGGGTAAAAGGTAAAACTTAAATAAAATTTTTAATGTTGATCATTAGCTGGCAGCATTAGTGATGTTTCATAAGCAAATTTCTGGAGGAGCACGATCAGTCTGACAAGGCTAATTCATTACAGACATTTATTTTATTATCCTATCAGCTCAAGACAAAACCCCTATAAATAGCCAAATATGTCATCCCAACTCCACACTATTAGAACCTATACCTACTTAAATCTGAAAGTGGAGCGTTCTGGAGACACTACGCTCGGACCCTATTTCTCTCTATCCTGATAAGGGGAATAAAACAAGGTAGGGTGTTTTTCCGAGGTCGGAGCCATCTCCCCTGACAGCACACCAATATTCCACAGTGTTTTCTCTAGGATTTTTTCCAACAGATTTACCAACTACCTGTGGCGTTATGTCGCTAGTGCAGTATTACAAGTCAAGATTGCATTTATGTAATAGCCTACAAACATGCTAATCTCTTTGTGCGCCATTTCCTCTGCTCGTGTGTAACCCCGCCACCCAACCCGCTCTGAGCTGGTATCGAACCGACGACCTTCCGCATGGGAGTCGGTTGCTCCACCAAGGAGGCTAAAGACCATGGCCTCTAGCATCTGTCGCTAGAGCACCTTTAGAGGTCAGAGGAGTGAGGTTTACCTGCACAGCACACACTAGCTGGCCTCCGTTACACGTGCACAAAACGTCTTGCACACCCCCACAAATATATGCTGCTCAAGCGCAGATCTTCTTGTGCGCTCTCAAATTAACGCTGCTGAAGTGCAATTTAGTGCATTTATGTAACAAGTATATCTCCAACATGTATTAGATTTACTAAGAATATTTATTAATGTCTCCAATAGACCTACAGAGCGGTATTAATGCAGTAAAACGGTTATACGTCGTGTTTGCTGGCCTCACGCATCACACACCTGTCAGTCAGCCAGATAGTCAACACGCAAATAACAAAAATACCGCACAGCACTACTACATAACAGAAAAGTTTGCGCTATAATTCACTTCCCTTTTAATATGTTTTGATGCAATTATCACCTGCTATTAAAAAAAATGAGATTATCTTTTAATGAAAAGCTGTAATGTAGCCGTGGCGGGATACATTTTGGCGTGGCGCCCCACCATGGAATAATTAATGTAGTGAAAACCATTTTCCATATTCTGTTGTCAAAAATCTGTGAGTGTAAACTTATAAAAGCCTTTAGACTGGCCAGTGCAAAAAGTTTCTGACTTTTATATGGAGTTCTATGGAGTAAAACAGCAAATTACAGCATGCGTGCATAAACTTACTGTTACCCACTGTTACCAGTGTGTCCATTTAGCTTGCCATGAATGTTGGCGGAGTTGAGACACAGACAGGAGTTGACCATGATGAAGGGGTCTAAATCCGGCGAAGATCGATTGCAGAAATTGGGTAAGAAAAACAGATGCCACAAAAACAAAACAAAAAAACAAGTAAATAACAGGGTGAAAATGTGGTAAAATGTGAAAACGTGGTAAAAATCAGGCGAGGGCTTTTCTTTTTGTGGATTGCTTTTTCAAAACTGTCGGTTGGGTTTAGGGAAGTGAGTGGGGGGGAAGTGGTTTTGTAAAAACTATTGTATTGTAAGTACACTGTGAGTAAATGCTAAATTGAGGGTAAAATCTGTATTTTGTTGTCTGTTCTATTCCTAAAAGGAAAACCTGCTAAATTAAGTTCACAGTTAACATTTTAAAAAGAATCTTTGCTACCTAAAATAAAAATAACTTAAATAAATTAAGTAAAATGTCCAGTAATGTGTCAAATATTTATCTCCGTCAACTAAACATTTTAAGTTCAGTCAATGCAACAAGATGACTTAATTAAAAAAAAAATCAGTGTGGTGTTTGCAATATTTCTCAACCAAGTTGATTCACAGACATCTTTGTTTCTCCTTGCAGACATTCAGTGGTGTTTTGCTTACAAAACGACCATTTTTATCTGCCCTTATGACACAAGCAGGGACACAAGCAACTTTTTTTAACCCACAAGCAACCTTTACACATTCAACTTCGATGAGAATTTTTTTTTATCCTCCCCCTGGAAGGCGGGATTGAAAAGATGGGGCCTTTCAAATCCAGCATTGTGATTGTATGACCCTGTGAGGTCAACGGAGGTTGTCATTAATCTGTATTTGCATAGTCATGGTCTACAGTTAAAAGCAAATAAGGAAAAGAGTAATAACAAGGTTTACCACCTATTTTGTACACACACATCTTAGCCAGGCCCTGATTTTATCAGCATCTGCTTTTGGCATCTCTATGAACCTTTTTGGAGAAAAAACATGTTTTGCAATATAAAGAAATGCATATGATCATTTGCACTCTTACAGGATCAACTTTAGAGGCTTGAGAGTGCAAGAGGAGAGACCTAGCTAGAAGAGCATTGCAGTAGAAGCTTGAACTAAAAGTTGGATTTGTTAAGAAGGTCTAAGGCCCAATCCCAATTCTACCTCTTAGTCTTTCCCTTCACTCCTACTCCTCGTTTTGCGCATTTAGCTGAAGGGGTAGGGGTGTCCCAATTTTCTTTAGCTTGAAGGTGTAGGCCTAAGGGGAAGGGCTAGATAGCTCTTGAAATTTAGATTTTTTCAGGACGTGAAACCAAGGGGTATAAAAAATTCCCAGAATACACTATCTACAACGACAGCATGGCTGCAAACTGAAGTAAGGAGACACACAAATTAGTATTTTTTTTTGTAAGAGCCGTGGTTAACAACAAATGCAGACTCCCCATTTGAATGCTGGGTGGGTGAATTTTGGTTACTGTGAATTCATCAAGTTGGACATGTTCCTGAATCAACATCTGTGTTTATCCTGCAGCAACATTCCAATCAGATTTAAAGGGATAAGTTTAAAGTTAAAGTTTAGTACTACAGTTGGGGCTATGCACTTCTACTAATTGTTACTCATCTATATTTTCCTCTAATTTTGAAAAGACTTTACAGGTTAGGGATTAGGTATGAATTATATTTTTGAACAAAAATAACATTTCAGGATAGACATCAGTTTTAATCCTGGATCGCACTGTACTTGGCAATACCACACCCACTGTGGATCTTGTCAAGTGGGATGTAATCCTAGATTTACATCAATGTTGATCCTGTAACATAACTCCTGTTTAAAAAATAACAAGCCATGCCCAATCCCTACCCCAAACTTAACTGGATATTATTCACAAAACTAGTGGGAGCTAATAGTAGCATAAGAATGAAGGACATAATCCTAAATGTAAACGTATACCTTAAATTTTATTGGCACAGTAAGTTCCTTAAGTAACTTACAACAGCTTTGAACACAGCTCAAACAATCAGAATCAAGGCTCGGAACCATTCGTATCATAATTAACTTTTTAATTGGCATATTTTGTAAATTAAAAGATATATTTCATAGCAAACCCCCATCTAAGAATAAACATTCATGTTATCACAGTTGCCACAGCCATTTGACCCTGACGGCCAAGAGTGGTTACTCACAGAAGCTAAGCAGGGCTGAGCCTGGTCAATCCCTGGATTGAAAACCACATGGGAATACTGGGTTGCTGGTGGTGTTAGAGATGCCAGCAGGGGGTGCCCAATATGCGGTCTGTGACAGTCCTAATGCCCCAGTAAAAGTGAAGAGGACGCTATACTGTCAGTGGGCGCTGACGTTAAACCAAGGTCTTAACTCTCCGTGGTCATTAAAAATCCCATGGTACTTCTTGTAATGAGTAGTGGTGTAACCTCAGTGTCCTGGCCAAATTCTCTTCATTGGCCCATCATGGCACCCAATTATCCCCATCCACCGAACTGGCTTTATCACTGTCTCGCCACTCCACCTATAGCTGGTGTATGTTGAGTGGGCTAGCTCCGCTGTCCTGTGGCTGCCGTCGAATCATCCAAGTGAATGCTGCATGGTGCTAGTGTGAAGAGACACCCCCCTTTCCCTCATGATTGTAAAATGCTTTGGGTGTATGGCTGTATAAAAATACTCTATATAAATATACATTAAAAGTACACTACTAAATAAATCACCTACACCCCCCCCCCCCAACACACACACACACACACACACACACACAAAACACTGAATATTTAGATTCAATTGGTGCAATTCATTAGATTTCTTTTAAAATTCTCTTCAAAAACCCAAACAAATAAACTCAGCCAGGGAAAAAAACACATACAGCAAAAGTACAGGTTGAATATCTTTATTTATGTACAGCAAAAAGTTAATCTAGACAACGTGAGGACCAGTAGAGAACATACTGGACACAAGAGCGACCACTTCTTGTTTAAAAGTTGACTGTTTTGGAGGGCTTGGCCTCTCCAACCGCTGCTTCAAAGAATCGTTGACGGCGATGGCGGCGCAAGGTTTCAATGGCCTTCTGCTCGATGGAAGCAGGTGTGATGCCCAAATCCTCCAGTCCCGGGAGGTCAGGGTACTTCAAGTCCGATGTGTGCAACTAGACATAATGATTTGATTATTAGTTTTATATTTTTTTCATGACTAAGCTTAATATTTAGCATTGTTACTCCAGCCAAGTCACATTATCCTTTTGAAATCATTCTAATATGCCAAGACTCTTCATTCATATACTTTCCTTCGGCTTAGTTCCTTATTTATCAGAAGTCGTCGCAGCCAACTATTCTGGCATATGTTTTACACAGTAGATGCCCTTCCAGCCACAAACCAGTACTGGGAAACACTCATACACACTTGCATACACTACGGCCAGTTTAGTTTATTCAATTTACTTTAACCACTAGTCTCCAAACAAAAGTTCCCAGCCGGAAATCGAACGAGCGACCTCCTTGCTGTGAGGCTGTGTGCTAACCACTGAGCCCCCCCCTTCTATTAATTATGCCAAATATTAATGAACAGTGCACTTAATCTGTTATGACATTGTAATATACACATACCCGGTCGACTTTATCACGGGTTGTCCAGGGCTCGAAAGGGTTCATCTCAAAAAACCTTGCGACGAGGCTAAAACCAGACAACACAAAGGGAATAAATGAATATCTAAATAAAGGATTACATTAAAATAGGTTATGAGTTCATAATAAAGACATGCTTACTGATAGAGAGGGCGAGGCAAAGGGTATGGCATAAATGGCCTGTGGGCCACGGAGTATAAATATTCAACCAAATCATGAAGTAGATACCGATTGGGCCTGTTGAGCAAGAAATTCATATTTTTAGACCAAAGACATCAACGATTTTTCAATTAAGGAAAGGGCCTTTAGAACACTGAGGCAGTTCTTACCCAACTAGTGCATAGGTTTTCCCATTAGCTTCAGGGTCCTGGATAGCATTAATGATGGCTTTGGCCACATCTACCACCTTCAGAAAGTAAAGAGGAAAAATAATAACATGGAAGAATAAGTTTGCAGGATTATTAACTGTCAGATTTGCTTCTGTTTTCGGATTGATTGATTGATACTTACATGAACAGGCTGCTTGACTGTCTTCTTGCCCATTGCAATTAGAGGTACAGCTGTGCCAAACCAGCGCATGTCTATATAAAATAAAAAGAAATAATGAATTAATTAAAAAAAAAAAAAAAACACAAACTCTGAGTTTGATGTCAACAAGACAATTTTGTGATCTGTGAAATCTTAACTCAAGTTTTCTTATTCAAAAATGTCCAATGTTGATACAGAACGGCTCAGCTCCCCAGTATTTGAGGGAGCTCCTGTTGTATTACAGCCCCTCACGTCCACTATGCTCAATTAATTCCTGGACAATTGATTATTCTCAGAATATCAAGATCAACTGTGGACGGTAGATCTTTCTCATATCTGGCACGTAAACTCTGGAACAGCCTTCCTAGCACAGTTCGGGAGGCAGACACACTCTGCCAGTCTAAAACTACATTAAAGACACATCTGTTTGCAGTGGCATACACAAAACACAAATGCTTTTGAAATCCAAATCCTCTAAAGCAGGGATCACCAAACTTGTTCCTGGAGGGCCGGTGTCCAGCAGATTTTAACTCCAACCCTGATCAAACACACCTGAACAAGCTAATCAAGGTCTTACTAGGTATACTTGAAACATCAAGGCAGATGTGTTGAGGCGAGTTGGAGCTAAACCCGGCAGGGCACCGGACCTTCAGAAACAAGATTGGTGACCCCTGCTCTATAGGATTGTTAGGTTCGCATCCAGGAACACTTATTAAAAGACATTATAATTTGAACGGCATCTACGCTTATGTTAGTCCTTATCCCAAGTCCTCCATAATCCTGGACCAGGCTGTATCTATTCCTGAAAGACCCCAGTAACAGCTGAGTTTCTGCATTACTGTGGGCTAGCCTTTAAACCCGGTGGTGACCTACACACTCCTGCAGCTTTTTCACAACAGACAATGTAG